AATGATAGCCACTGAAAATGAGAAACAGGAACAAACAGCCTCAACTTGGATTTGGACGAGGATGCAGAGGCAAGCTTTACAAATGACTGGCTCAGCTCCCAACCTGGCTTTGGGAGTGAAGGCGGCAGAATATGTCCCAACTGTATTGCCTGCCACCGCATTCTGATCCCAGATTACATGTTAATGCAGTACCCCTAAGGAACAAATAAATAAGATACAGTACAGCAACCTCCCTCCAATCACCTGCAGCCTCCACCACCCCTCCGTAGAGTGGTGGGAGAAAAATGGAAGAGCAAAATGGTGTCTGCTAATACCACTGACATCATTTCCAGCTGCATAACCAGAAGTGAAGTCACAGTGCCTCAGGACCCTCTAGCATTCACCTAGAAGTCTATGGCTTTATTATAGAGGGTTTTGAGTGAACTCTAAAGAGTCCCACAATGCACTGGCATCACTTCCGGTGATGTAGCCAGGAGTGGTGCTAGGGCACTGATGGACACCACATGGCTAAGTCCCACTCTTACAGAAGTTGCCAGTAGGGATCCGAACCGAATGCACCCCCGAAAATGGTCCATTCAGGCCCCTTTTGGGCTGCTGCGGGCCGATTCAGATTCTCTGATCTGAATCGGCTTGCAGCCGAATTGCCGCCGAATTTCAGCGCCAATTCGGCCCCATTATATCCTATGGGCCATTGAGGTCAATGGTGAAAATATAGGGTATATTCTGGGGGCTGTAGGGTCGGGGGTTTGAGGGAGAGGCTCCGAACTCGCAGGGTAGCTGCTGGAGCCTCTCTCCAAGATACCCACCAAGTTTCAAGAACATTGAACCAGGGGGTCCAATTCTACAGGCCCCCAAACAGGTTGCCCCATCTCCTCCATTGTTCTCTATGGTGGGGAAAAAGTAATTTGTTGGGGGCCCATAGGATTGGACCCCCTGGTCCAATGTTCTTGAAACTTGATGGATATTTTGAGGTATCTTGGGGAGAGGCTCCATCAGCTACCCTGTGAGTTTGGAGCCTCTCCCTCAAATCCCCTCCCGCCCCAAGAATATACCCTATGTTTCCACCATTGACTTCAATGGCCCATAGGATATAATGGGGCCAAAATTGACATTCAGCTGGCCTAAAGACTCTGAAATGGCTCCTACTGCCAAAATTGACATGTGGGAGTCTTTCTGCCGGCTGAAATTGATTCTGCCCGATACGGCCGAATCCGAATCGGGCCAAATTGGGGTTTTTTGCACACCCCTAGTTGCCAGGACAACATGCCCTCCCCAGTACTCCCAGGGATACATAAGAACATAAGAGACGCCAATGTTGGATCAGGCCAAAGGCCCATCCAGTCCAACACTCTGTGTCACACAGTGGCCAGAAATACCAGTGCCATCAGGAGGTCCAGCAGTGGGGCCAGGACATTAGAAGCCCTCCCACTGTTGACCCCCCCCAAGCACCAAGAAGACAGAGCATCACTTGCCCCAGAGCCCCTAGCTATACCTTGTGGCTAATAGCCACTGATGGACCTCTGCTCCATATGCTTATCTAATTCCCTTTTGAAGCCGTCCATGCTTGTAGCACCCACCACTTCCTGTGGCAGTGAATTCCATGTGTTAATCACTCTTTGGGTGAAGAAGTACTTCCTTTTATCCGTTCTAACCCGACCACTCTGCAGTTTCATGGAGTGCCCACGAGTTCTTGTATTGTGAGAAAGGATACATCTAGGTGTGTTTATTTAGAAGCACTGAATTTAATGAGATTTACTTTTTAGTTTAGGACTGCAGTCTAATTTAATGTGTTACTTTACCAAGCCTGTTTTCAAAAATATTAGGCAGGGAGAAAGAAGTTAATTTAGGCCTAAAATAGTATACTTTATTAGCCACATACCAATAAATTCTCTATCAGAACAAACCACTCTGGTCCCCAATTTTGTTAACTGTATTTACAGTCTGCCTTTCTCACTGAGCCTCAAAGAGGATTACACAGTGTAAGTCAATAACAGTTCATGCAAAGAAACTTCTAATAAACACAGCGTAGGCTGACAGAGTCACTATGAGGAACCATTTGATCAGCAATGTACTAGGACTAGAATTACTAAAATCTGAGAGAGCATAGAACATTAGGCATGCTACAGAGTGTGGATTTACCATGAAGAAAAACAGTATTACATTGGGAGATACCTTGTGTTGTTTCATAATTAATATGCACAAATAACCAATAATACATCTTATATACAGTGGTATAATCCACAGCTTGACCTGGATAGCTAGGCTAGCCCAATCATCAGATCTTGGAAGCTAAGCAGGGTTGGCCCTAGCTAGTATTTGCATGGGAGACTGCCAAGGAATACCAGAGTGGTGACACAGAGGCAGATAATGGCAAACCACCTCTGAACATCTCCTGCTTCGAAAACTACATGGGGTTGTCCAGAAGCCAGATCTGACTTGATGGGGTGGGGGAAAACTGTCCCTTTCTCTTTATAAAGCTACTTTCCTTATTTCATTCTTTCATCACATTCCATTCAGTTTATTAATGCTCACAGACCAATTGGTCATAGACAAATAACTTCAGAATAACTTAAAGATACCATTCATACAGTACAACCTGATTGCAGCTCATTTGGTCATGGAAAAATAACAAACCCCCTTCGATATCAGATTGGTTTAAAAAAAACGGGATATTAGACCAGCAATCCCAGGTTGATTCAAATCAGTATGTTTCCTCTTTCACTGAAATGTGGTACCAATCAGTGTTCCATCTAAACTGAGTTAGTGTGAGCTAGCTCACAGTTTTTTAGCCTCCAGCTCACACGTTTTTGTCTTAGCTCAGAAAGGATGGCTCCAGAGCAAACTAATTGATGCAGTAACCAAATAGCTCGCTCACAACTTTAAGGCCAGTAGCTCACAAAGAAGAATTTTTGCTCACAAGACTCCATAGTTTAGTTCATTAGTTCATTTCTTCCATTCTAAAGACATATTATTTCTTTGGTTTTGTTTTATAGACAGTTGTTGATATTTTATTGCTGATTGTAGGTATTATTACTTCAAGTCTGATGTGGTTTCGTTAGAGGCATTGTGAATGGTTTTATTGTGGTAATGGTTTTGTAGTCTATTTAATTTTAATGGTAATATTGAATATCTATTTGTTGTTACAATAAAATAAATAAATCATAATAAAAATAAAAAAGACCAAACAAGCAAATAAAGAAAAGATACAAAAGACATAATTATAAATACAGTATTTACATTATAGACTATCATTATTAAATGCCATAGATAAAAATTTTACCACTGCAAAAGTCATAAGGGTTGACATCAGCTAACAACTTAGCTACAGTCTCCAGTTCTGAAGCTGGAGTCCATTTTTGAACATAAACTGTAATCCACTTGTCTCGGGCAATACTATGTTTATTACAGTCAATAAAACATGCCAAATAGTATCTAATCTTCCAGATTTACAATTGCAAAGCTGCTCAGAAAACAGCATCCCTGCAAACCTACCCAATAATTCCCCTCACAGCAACACATTTAATCTTGCTTCAGATAATAGGATTCAATATTTAGGCACTGTTAGGAGCTTACAAAAATCAAGTAAGGTCTCTGGGACTGGAAGACCTAAATAATACAGGGAGCACACCCTCCGAGCTCTACGACAAGTACCCCATTTATCAAAATGTAGCATAGCAAATTTAATCAATTTACACAGAGGTTTATTCCATTTTGCTTTTAAAACACCAAAGAAAACCCCAGTTTCTATATCTTACTATCAGCTAATTTTGATCATGTACTTCAAAAACCATCATCATTAGGAAGTTGATACAGATAACATCGTTCTGAAGAACAGCTTTTTAATCCTGAACTATTCTGTTATAGCCCTATTAAAGGTTCCCCTTGCTCGAAAGCTAGTTGAATCTGATTCTAGGGGGCAGTGCTCATCTCCGTTTCTAAGCCAAAGAGCCAGCACTGTCCGAAGATGTTTCCGTGGTCATGTGGCCGGCATGACTAAATGCCGTGGCGCATGGAACACTTGTTACCTTCCCACCAAAGTGGTACCTATATATCTACTTGCAATTTCTTGCTTTCAAACTGCTAGGTTGGCAGGAACTGGGCCCAGAGACTGGAGCTCACTTCATCACGCGGCACTAAGGTCTCGAACTGCCGAGCTACCTACCTTCTGGTCTGCAACTCAGCATCTTAACCTTTATTACCTTTATAGAAAAACTCTCCTGAACAACCTCGTTTATCATTCAGAAAGACAGGCGCCTGGGAGCCTTCCTGACCTCCTCGTGCAGGCCTACAAGGTGGGGGGGTCACAACAGAGAAAGCACACATATGGGTGGTTGTTGGTCTTGTCTGTTTGCAGGGCCTGCAAAAGGCCCTGAACGGAGGAGTGAAACAGACATAGCTGAACATAGGAGAGGCGGTCCTGCACGGCTTTGTACACTTGCTAGTCAGTACCCTGAACTGAACCCTGTAGATGATGAGCAGCCAATGGAGTGGCTGCAGAATGGATGTAATGGGTGTGCTCATCTAGCTCCTGATAAAAACCAAGCCACAGCATTCTATACCAACTGGAGTCTCCAGACTGACTTCAAGGGTAGTTCCCATGGACAAAGCACTACAGTACTCTAATTTTGATGTTCTCATGGCATGTGTTATGTATTGAGCCTGTCTGAATTGAGCCTGAACTGTCCTTGCAAAAGGACTTAGCTTGGGATGCATAACGATAGATCGCTAGGATCCTAGAATGGACCAGTAGGGAGACAGGGATTCTAGAGTAAACCAATTGGGAAACAACGCAGTATAAATAGCCTATCGTTGGGAGTGGGGTGTGTTTTGGGTGTAACCCTTTTCAGGCATAAATACCTGGCTTCGGCCAGGGATCGCCAGTCTTCTTTCTCTTGCTGAATCACTAACAAACTATGAGCTGATCACTTCTACGCATCTGAACCCAGTATATTTCAGCATGGATCCAGCCAGTGGCTGGAGAGGCTGAGTGAAGGCTTGACTTAATTAGAAGCTTTTGTTTTTTTTGCAGCTGCATTAACTTGTTTCCCCAGCAGTAATGCTGAGTCCAATATAACCTCTAGGCTCATAACTGAGTCACCAACGATCAACTGAACTCCATCAAAGGGGGAAAGTACAATGTCCTTCAAGGCCTCCGCTTTCCCAATGATTTCTGGAACGCAATACCAAGAATCACAGTAAGTCATATGTGGCACTCTCTTTTGAAACTGCTTCAGTTTGTATGTTATTTCCCATTACTAAAATCCCAGTCTTGCAAACATATTTTTGCTGCCCTCTAGTGGAATACAAAGTTCAGAATTTTTTCTTGTTTTTTTATTCTAACAGTCATTTAATTCTAGTGAAAATAAATAACAAAATACTGGCACTTATCTTAGGTCACGAGTCTGACATCTCAAACTTGTGAACTAAATGCAAGCTCAAGAAGCTATATGGAAACTCATAATTAGGGTGACCGTTGCAATGCCAAACAAGTCTAATACAAATCTCTAAACATTTCTCACTCTCAATTTAAAATGCACACTAAAAGATTAATTGTTAATGAAATATTTAGACTCGATTCTGATTTTACCAATGAATTGTTGTAACTCATTATATGGCTAACCATTTTAAGAGCTAAGGTATTTGATGACCGTTGTTAACTGAAGTAACCATTTCTTGTGCAATTAAAATGGATTTTCTCAACTTTTGACAACTGAGAAGTAGGTGTCCTGTAGCACATATGTTAGGTATGTTGGTATATTCTGTAAATTAAGAACCCCGATGTAGGAGAAGGACACTTGGTGAGAATGAAATACATTGTTTACACATGACTGGCTAAAATGTGAGAGCAGCTTCGCTACTAGAGTTTCATAACTGAGAGTAAACTCAGACATTGAACTACCTACCGACATCACATGCAACAGGTTATGCACCCACAAATGTATACATTGCAAGTGATTTAGGACTGCCAAAAATGAATACTGAAAAAATGAAGGTCAAAAGGCATGCGTGCATTTATGTTTACCAAAAATATCATAAGAGTGCCAATATTGTAAGAGTGCCATTTAGTATTAGCACAATGACTTACATGTTTGCTCCTTTCTAAAACTCCAAGTAATCAGTTTTAGATATTACATTATCCAGCCTCAAATACAACAGACACAATGAGGCCATTCTTATCACTGGAGAAGACACAAATGCCTCCATCCAAGTTCTGTAGGACCTGTTTCAATAGCTGCTGCTCTCTTCTCAGCAGACAGCCACACTCTGTTTAATCCCATACCCTCCCCCTCTCTATATATAACTAAATTTTATTTACCATGGTGATAGTAACAGCTTTAACAGAATCCATTACCTACAAAGCGAGGAGCACTTATGTAAACCACGCAAACTGAGTACCACATAATTGAATAGCTATAGGAAACAAGGTGATTTTTTATATAACTTCTGATAACCATGATGTATACATATGAACACCGGCACAACTCAATTGCCAGTGCTTTCATGAATAAAAATTAGCACACTCAGAACTACTGAACTACAGAACAGCTGAGATGATGGACCAAGTGGCCATTAGATCTTAAACAGAATTACATCCCAAGTTCATTGAAATCAGTGGTTTTAGAAGGGTGTAATTCTCCTTGACAAGGCACTATTGAACTGCCTCCCTCCACCTCCACATTGCTGTCTGTAAGTTACGGAGTCACACTTTCCCAAAATATAGCACCAATCTGGCAGGGATATCTTTATCCTTCCCTATCTAACTTATCCACAAACTCATGTCCACTATCTGTAAGATGTCTACTTAACAGCTATAGCTAATGTGATAAATTGCTGAAAAAAGTGTGGGCTTGGGGTTTCTCTTCCCAGGGTGGTGGTAGTGGAAAAGAGCTGAACTACTAGGTAACTCCTGCCTGAGGCATGAGGGAAGAAGCAAAAGCCTATGTGGAGTAAAATTCTCAGCCAGAAGCATGGGCCAGGACAGCAGCAAATCCATCACCACTGTTCCTTTGCTTGGTGAATGGTAAGAAGTGGGAGGTACTGCAGTTTCCAAAGTCAGCAAGTCCAGCTGCGTCCTTGTCCTCTCTCACCTCAAAAGTCAAAGCAACCCGGAAGACAGTTTCTACCAGACATTGTGGCTTTCATTGTCTCTCCTCTCTATTGGTGAATGAGTTCATGCTTTCTCCCCCCCAACACTCTCTGCATGCACACTGAATCACCTTTCACATCAACCCCTCCCCAAACTCTGCACAGCAGCACTAACCAGATCTATACACGCAGATGGAAGATGACCCTCCCCAGCCAAAAAAATATCTGGCACCACACATCTGATGGCATCATACACCAAAGCTCTTGAAAGACTGCAGAACAGCACTTTGAACCAACAGCCCCTTCCGGTTTTGGAAAGTGTTAGCAGAGGACATCACTGTCAGAAGGCACATGTCTCACAACCTATGCTTTATTGAGAGCATCTGGAGAGACGCAATTTATATAGCAGCTAAGCCCTCTAAAATTAAAAAAAATCACAGCTGTTTAGCATGCATGTCTCCCAAGGGGTGCCACAAGTAAAAGTCCTGGCTAAGGTTAAACAGACTGTGAGGCATGCGTCATGGCCTTTTTTAAAATGCTTGTGAAGAAACTTGACTTCGCGTTGGGTACTCCAATTGTGAAGTGAACACAAACAGCAGTGATGTTACAGAAATAAAACTAGCTGGAAGTACTAATTGTTTAACTTGAGACACATAAGAACGGTTTAATTGAGACACAGAAGAAACTAGTACTCATATTGAAGGTTTCTTAGGCCTTAAATAAATGCCAGTACAGTTCATCTTACAACTTACAAACTAGGTATTCATTGTTTTAAGATAATGAAACAAGAGATACTGATGACTAGATGCTTAAATTTGAGAATTATTCCTAGGATACTGAGAAGTCCAGCAATACTGAAAGCGAGACAGGTATGCAAGGGAGCAACTTTTATATATTACCTAATACGGTGACTGCATGTTTACACTTCCTGCCAAGATGGATAAGAAGGTACATTAATGTAACTGTTAAGATGGGTCATAACCAAAGGCCTTTGTCACTCCTGCTGCACAGTGAGCCTCGACCAGTTGAGACCCCGTCAGCATTTATTTTAAATGCTCAATGCTTTCTATACTCAACACTGTACAGTAACTTGCTCCAAGGGAGGTTATGAGTTACCCTAATTTGTCCTTTTTATTGGGCACTAAGGTCCTCTGAAATGTCATAACTACTACGTCTAATGCTGTTACACCTAATCTTTTTCAACAGTTTGTATGAGGAAGTATCAAAGCATCCCTTGGTAAATGAAACAATTCAAAGTATGAATACAAAAGACAGCAGATCTCTACCTTCTCCTGGGTTAACTGCAGCTGGTAGACTGTCCCAGTCTAGGACCCAGGTAGGGTTAGGATGAGGACAAAACACGGCTTCAATACCATTAGCCTGTATTTAAGGGGAAATTGCAGTGAGGTCAGGAAGCAATGCCCTAATGCAATGGACAGTAAATTTGCTTAGTAGCACATGTCCTATTCAGAGTATTTTCTCCCCCTCCCCCCCCAAACGTAATTCCAAGAGGTGGGGTGCCTTACAAAAACATGTAGCTTATATAAGGAGTCTTGTTGGTCTGCACTACAACAACTAGTTTTGAGTTCAGTAGCACCTTAGAGATTTTAGGGGTATAAGCTTTTGAGAGCTAAAGATGACTTTAGCCAACCTAGCAGTTTGAAAGCAAGAAATTGCAAGTAGATAAATAGGTACCACTTTGGTGGGAAGGTAATAGCGTTCCGTGCGCCTTGGTGTTTAGTCATGCCGGTCACATGACCACGGAAACGTCTTCGGACAGCGCTGGCTCTTCGGCTTTGAAACGGAGATGAGCACCGCAACCCTAGAGTCGGATTCGACTGGCTTTCGAGCAAGGGAACCTTTACCTTTACTTAGCACCTTAGAGATTTTAGGGGTATAAGCTTTTGAGAGCTAAAGATGACAAAGGGATCTTTGACTCTTGAAAGCCCATACCCTCCAAATCTTATTGGTCTTTTAAGGTGCTACTGGACTCAAATCAAGCATAAAGATGGGTCATTGGGCTGGCAACCCCTGGGACCACACAGTTTTGGGGTGGATTCACCCATATCTGAGAACGAATGTAACTGAGAGGCTAAGAGCGTGAGCCCAGAAGTCCCCAATTAAAATCTCAGCTGAGTTATGAGCTCCCTATGTATCAAACATTTTTCAGCCTTGGTGTTCCCATCAACAACATAAGATTAATAATACTGGCCCACATTGCATGACTTTTGCAAGATTAGTAAAATAAGTTGCATCAACAGAACTGTAAAGGGAAGGAACCTATTCACGACAATAAGGATGGACAAAAGATTGTGCAGTGCTAGAATACTGTACATCAGTTATGTTTCTGCTGGTGCCAGAGGTTACCCAACTTCAGCAAGCAGAAAAATAATCTTTGAATTTAATTTTTCTCTTCTCGTATCATATGAGGTGTTAAAGTGTTCCTCCATGAAGAGAATATGACTTTAGCACACAGAAATGCAGCTTTCAATTTAACCCTGTAACTAAGTCATCCACAGATTCTTGTTAAGCCCTAATTAAGTGTCCAGAAATCTTTATCACTCCAAACACAAGCAAACACTTTTATGGTTAGCAGATATAATCAGTTTAAGTAATTATTCAACTACCATTAACTTTGTCATGGTTGGCCTTGGGCCACCTATGAACTGAGCATCTTCATTCTCCTCTTCCGGCTCATCAGAAGCTGTGCAGGGTCTTTGTGGGCATTCAGCTTGGAAAGAGGACGAGTCCTCCTGATACTGGACAAACTGCATTTTGCATTTGACAGCAGCCTTCTTTACTCCTGGTACTTCCTGAACTCTCTGGTACCAACTGGATATTAAAGGCAACGCCAGCATTTTGTCTTGATGATTTTTGCTGAAAACCTTAAAGATGGAGAATATAAAATTCTGTTTAACTATTAAAGTATTTGGAGACACCTGATGCCCAAAAAGTGTGAAACAGAGAGCAATTTTCCCGTCCTTATCGCATTTGCTACATCTAGTGGAAGAACAGTGGGTGGATAGGGGGAGCACATGGCTTAATTTGTGGCAGTAATGTAGAGAAGGGATCCCCTTCATTTGTTACCAGATTATAGTTGAGAGCTGGGCCTCAGAACCAATGCCTAAGTAAGTTCCAAAACCCCAATAAGGGACAGTTTGTGTGCACACTGATTTTCAATTATCAGCGACAGTTTCACAGCTTAGACACAGCTTTGCCTCACTGAGCTTACAAAACCAGAACATACTAGGGAGGGATTTGAAAAAGTGTGCCTTGCACACGAAAGTTCATACTTTGAATAAACCTTTGTTGGTCTTAAAGCTGCCACTGGACTCTACGTTTGTTCTATGCAAAACAATATTAACGTAAATACAATTTAACAGTTTCTATATTTCGTAATCTGCCATGAGTCTCTGTGAGAAAGGTGTAATAAATGAATTAAAGATATATAAGAACATAAGAAGAGCCCTCCTGGATCAGACCAATAGTCCATCTAATCCAGCATCCTGTTTCACAGTGGCCAACCAGTTCCTCTTGATGGCCAACAACAGGGCACAGAGGCTGAGGACTTCCCTTGATGTTGCCTCCTGGCTCTGGGATTCAGAGGATTACTGCCTCCAGAAATTTCTCTAATCCCCCTTTAAAGCTGTTTATTCCTGTGGCCATCACGTCCTCTGGCAGTGAATTCCACATTTTAATCACACTCTGTGTAAAGTAGTATTTCCTTTTGTCCATCTTGAACCTACTTGCTCATCAGTTTCATCAAATGCCCTTGAGTTCTAGTAATTTGGGAGAGGGAGAAAAAGTTCTCTTTGTCACCTCTCTCCACTCCATACAGTTGTCAGCTATGCTGCCATGGGGGTTGGGATGTTCTTTCAGTGTCTGTGTAAATTGCTTTCGCATTCCTTTCTCCCTCTGCTCTGCGCTGAAATGCTAAACTCCAAAGCCGTACAGGTGATAATGTGTGTTGTCTGCCTTCAAGGCTGACTGTGGGAGCCGCACAATACCCAGCTTCGCCTAGTAACGCTTGCCGGCTCTAGCCCGCGCGCGGGAGGGTGCCTAATTGGCCAGCGCAGTGGGGGGGGGTGCATACGAGTGCCCTATATCTCATTAGGTTCAAGAGGCAACCGCTATTCTTAACAGTAACTATGTTAATGCATCTATGGCTCTTCAATAAAAGTATAACCTTTCAAAAGAAGTGTGTACTCCGTTGTTGGCTGTGGGTTCTGACAGCAGTCATCTCTCTTCTAAACTGAAAAGTCCCAGCTGCCAGACTCTTCAGCCTTTCCACCACCACCACCATCATCTCAGTTGCCTTCCTCTGTACTTTTTCCAGCTCTGCAATGTCCTTTTGCAAATACAGTGACCAGAACGGCACACAGTATTCCAAATGAGCTGCACCATAGATCTATACAGGGGCATTACAATATTGTATGTCCCTTTCCTAATAATCCCTAATAGAGTTTGCCTTTTTTTTTTTTACCACTGCAGCACACTGGGTTGACACTTACATTGAGCTATCCAGTATGCCCCCAAGATCCTTTTCCCTCTCAGTCTCAGGAAGTTCAGATCCCATTAGCCTATACGTGAAGCTGGGATTTTTTTGTCCCAATATGCATCACCTCACACTTACCAACACTGAACTTCATTTGCCACATTGTTGCCCACTCACCTAGTTTGTGGAGGTCCTCTTGGAGTTCTTTACAGACAGTCTTGGTTTTCACCATCCTAAATAACTTGGTGTAATCTGCAAACTTGACCACTACACTACTCACCCTCGTTCCAGACCATTTATAAATAAACCAAATAGTAGCAGCCCCTTCTGGGACCCCACTATTGTGAGAACTGTCCACTGATTCCTGCTCTTTGCTTCCTGTCATTTAGCCATTTTTTAGTCCATAAGAGAACCCATCCTCTTATCCCATGACTGCTAAACTGATTCAGGAGTCTTTTGTCAAAGCCTTTTGAAAGTCCAGGTATATAGTGTCTACTGGGTTACTGTTGTCGACATGTTTGTCCACTTTCTTGAACAAAGAACAGTACACTCCTATCTGGGATAGTCGTCCTCTTCGACAGAGCACGCAGCTTTGGGAGGGATGCACATGAAGGAGGGAGGGAGGGGACCAGTGTTCCCTCTAAGCTGAGTTAGTGTGAGCTAGCTCACAGTTTTTTAGCCTCCAGCTCACACATTTTTGTCTTAGCTCAGGAAGGATGGTCCAGAGCAAACTGATTTATGCAGCAGCCAAATTGCTCGCTCACAACTTTAATGCCAGTAGCCCACAAAGTAGAATTTTTGCTCACAAGACTCCACAGCTTAGAGGGAACATTGGAGGGGACACCCACCTAGCCAGCGAGATCAGCCAAATCAAGGAACTCCAAAAGATTAGTGAAGCAGGACTTCTCTTTGCAGAATCCATGCTGATTGTCCCTCAGCAGGCTTTTGTCCCTCTATGTGCCTAACAATTCTATCTTTGATTACAGTTTCTACTAATTTGCCTGGGACAGACATCAGGCTCACTGGCCTGTAATTTCCTGGTTCTCCACTGGATCCCTTTTTAAATATTGGTGTACCATTTGCTGCTCTCTAATCTTCTGATACAGCGGCTCAGTTTAGTGATAGGTTACAGGTACAGGTTAGTAGATCGACTATCTGACATCTGAGTGCCTAAAGAACTCTCAAGTGTTTGCCATCAGAACCTGGAGACCTATCAGTTTTTAATATCCTCAGTAGGTCTAGAACTTCATCTCTGGTCACCTGAATTTGGCTTAATTATTCAGACTCCCTTCCTGAAAATAGGGGCTGTGGCATGGGTACATGGCTCCACACTTTCCACAGTGAAGACAGAAGCAAAAAAGTCACTGAGCTTCTCTGCCATCTCCCCATCTTCCTTTAGCAATCCCTTTATTCCTTTGTCATCCAAAGGCCCAACTGTTTCTCTGGCTGGTTTCCTGCTCTGGATCTGTTTTTAAAGATGTTTCTTGATGCTTTTAGCAACTGGCCCCTCAAAACCTCTTTTTGTGTGCCTAATTATCAGCTTACATTTCTCTTGTCAGAACCTGTGGTCCCTCCTGTTCAATTCACTGGGGCAGACCTTCCACTTTTCAAAAGAAGCCTCTACTTTTTTTAGTGCCTTTCCTAGTGCATTCTATTTGGTCTTCTATTAGTGTGGTTTTAAATAGCTTCCAAGCATTCTCTAGGGATCTGACTCTCTTGTGTTTCCCCTACAGCTTCCTTTCCTTTTTCCTACTCCCCTCATTTTTGTAAAGTTTCCTCTTTTGAAATCAAATGTTACAGTTTTCGACTTTAAGGGTAACTTTCTTTCTTTTCTTTTCTTTTTTTTGGCCCCCCGGAGGGTATTTTTTTATTGCATTTTATATATAGACTACAAACTACAATGAAAAAAGGGAGGGGTACTACATTTAGGGAGAAAGTAAAGATAACCACTACTGACTAAAAACCCAAGAGAGGAGATCTTCAAAATAGCTTATATACTATACCATCCCTTTAAACGCTACATTCTATGAACTTAGTCAATCATGCTTTTATAACTTTTAAATCTTAAGTTTAACTATTAGGAAAGATTCCCTCAGCATCTCCATGTTAAAACATCTTATTTATCAGAGTTCCATTCGGAGTCTTTCAACCTTCATTTCTTCTTGTCTTGTTTTTTTGTTGTCTTATTTCAAATGGAATATCTTTCAGAATCCGAATAGTCTTGTCCTTAATTCTCAAAGGTGTCCCCGCCGTTGCTCTCAGGATACAATCCCTTACGTGCCTCTTCGAGAATCTCACCACAATTTCACCAGGCAGATTATTCTTCTTTATGGAATAGGACCTGTAGACCATATCCATTTCACTCATAAGATAGTCCACCTTTAAATCTGTCACTGGAGCCAATGCTTTGCTCATCATATGCTTCAGATTCTCTCCTTTGCTCTCTGGGACATCCTGGAGACAAAGAACCAGATTTGCTTTTTCCATTTGTATTTGTACAAGCTGTTCTTCTGTTGAGTTTTGCTTCTTTTCCAATTTATACACCTTTTTCTTCACCTTTTGTGTGGTGGCATCAACCTCTTTCACTTTCTCTGTTGTTTGGTCCAGGATTTTAAGTGTATCGTTGATTTGTGTCTGCTGGGTAGATATGCATTGATTCATTTTTGACAGCTGCTCTTGAAATTAGTCATCTGCTCCAGCAGGGGGCGCAGGGACTCTGCCATCGTTTTAGCCAACTCGGTGGTTCCTTCCGGTCTTGGACTCTCAGCTCCTTTCGTTTTTAAAAGCTTCTCCATCCTCTTCCCCGCCATCTTTTTCGATTGTTTACTTTCACCCAACTTTTAAAAGTCTCTGAATTTGCCCTCCACCGCTCATACGTGCCTTGGTAAGTCTTTCCAGCAGTTTTTTAACCGCTTTGCTTCTGCTCCCCCCCCATCTCGCTTAGAGTTTGTGCGCCTGGGAGGGGCCCCTCCCCCACTCGCTTTGCCCTCTAGTCCGTGGGGTTTTGGGGGAGCTTTCTTTTTAGTTTATCAGATCGCTTCCATCTGACTCACGTTCATTATCGGCCGTCCAACCTCTTTTACTTTCATTTTCCACTGCTCAATCTCTTGCGCTTTTTCCGGCCAGCTTCACTAATTCCAAACGGACACAGACGGAGGGACCATGAGGACGGAGAAGCGCCTCGATTCCCCAGCATCGCGCTGGGGAAGAGGCAACCTCTCAGAAGTCCCTTGGCCAGGAGGATTTCGCCAATCTCCTGGGGGGAGTACGATACATCGCCCCCCTCCTTTCCGCCTGCATGCAGTTCCACCCCCGGGAGGTCCGGGAGGTGTGACTGCTCAGCGTGCCGCCATCCACCGGAAGTCGACTTTAAGGGTAACTTTCCACTGACCTGAATGCGGCACTTAATAGCATTGTGGTCAAAGTGTTCTCATTTGGTGTAACCTCTATATCTCTCACCAGGTCTTGAAACCCACTCAAAACCAAGTCCAAGATCATTACACCTCTGGTTGGCTCTGTGACAAACTGTTCCAGTGCAAAATCATTTATAATGTCTAGGAACCCCATTTCTACAGCATGACTCGAGCACTTGTTTACTCAGTTAACAGTAGTTAAAGTCTCCCAGTATAACATTACCTGCCACAGCCCCTATTTACTCAAGGGTCTGATGAGGTAGGTGATAGTACACTCCCACTTTTAAATAACCCCTAGGGCCCAGTATTTCCACCCATATAGCTTCTGTTGGGGAGTTAATTCCCCTGATGTTTTCTAAATTGTCACTGAACACCAAGCACTCTAGCTCCCCCATCTTGGCTTGGAGAGTTCTAGCACTGGCATACAGACACCTCTAACATGTTTCCCTCTCCAGTACCCCTCACTTCCCTTGGCCCCTGAGTTGCCACACATGGCCCACAGTTGCCATCATGCCCTCACTCCCAAGTTCTATTACGCTCCTATCAATACTACACTGAGTGTTTACTCAATCATCTCTTTGGACTGACTTGTCCTGAAGCAGAGACTCCCTTACTCCTGTCAGCTTTCCCCAGGGATTAGTTTAAAGTTGCTCTGCCACCTTTTTTCATAATAATCACCAGCAGCCTGGTTTCCTTTTAGTTCAAGTGAAGCCCATCTCTTTTGTCCCAGAAAGTCCCTTACGGCCTAACAAATCCTGGCACCACTTTTTCATCCACACATTAAAAGTCACCATGTGGTGAAAATGCCTGTCACAGACCCCCACTCTCTATATTCCTAATGACTGAATCACCTACCACCAGAAGCCCACCTCCCCCCAATCCCTGGGGATATCCTCGGTGTGAATGGATATTGGTCTGTCACCCAAAGAAGCAGTCCCTTCTCCTCAGCCTGATGCCCTCCGACCTTGAGACTCTCACTCTCTACAACGGCAGAAGAGCTGTCAGCCCATAAGTGGGCATGTTCTGGTAAATCCCTGCAGGTCTCTTCCCCAAACCTCTCTCTCTGCAACCCTAGCCTCAAGGGAACAAACTCCATGCAAGAGAGAACTGCAAGCTCCATGCAGCAAGCACGCACCCACATTTTCCACCCAGTGGGTAGATAACAGTACATATGGCACTCTCTGCAAAACAGTGGATAGCTCCTGCTCCTCTGCTGGCTTTCTGCCTTCATAATGGGTTAGTGGTTTAAAGGGATCTAGAGTGATGCAGGGTCCCCAGGCCTGATCCCCAAACTAAGAGCCACAGGCCAAGAGCCCCTTGGCTTTTGCACTTCTGCCTGTGAGGAACCTTACAATTCAGAGGCCCACAGCCTCCACATTCAAGCAGCAACAGCAGAGGATGGAACCTACAATCAGCTCCAGACAAACAAACCTTGCTCAAAGACCAACAGACCAGACAAAACACCCAAACAGACCCAGACAAAAACACCAGCAGGCTACAAGCACCCACTCACCCTCAAACTCTGTCCTCTCACAAAGCAACCTCAGTTAATGCTCCCCAGTAATTTATCAGTTTAGGAAAAGCAAAAAAAACAAACCCCACTCACGTCTCCAGCAGCTCTCTCCTGGGTTCTTTCTCCTTGCCCAGCTGGCTCAGTTCTGACATATGATAGTGCTCTACATGCATAATTTAGTCACTAAATTCATCTTTCCGCAGTACTGTTTTTTTATTTGGGGTCAGAGATTACCCTGACCTAAACCTGAAACCCTAAAAATCGTGCACGGTATAGCCATAACTAGCACAATTAGACCGTCCCCGATGCAGCTACTGTGAATTATGACATAGAAAGTTACTACTATAGAAAGTTAGTCTGTACTGTAAGCCATAGGCACTAGGATGGGAATCACAATGAATTAAGATGGCTTGCAGGCTAAAAAAAAAAAAAAGCAGGAGCCACAGCACCCACAGCCCCATACTTTTATTGGAGAAAAGGGCTTCTTTCAATCCGTGGATTTAGATATCCACAGATACGGACCACATCTAGAATCCAAAAGAACAACAGAAAGGGTTGCAATACTTTCCAGCAACACAGAGGTTAGAATTAGCTCTAGAAATAAGTTTGTATTCTTCTGTTAAATATATTTTTAAAAAATTATGCCAGACAGGATTATTCCTGAGGAATCCCTATAGCCTAAATTCATTTGTTTTTTAAACATAGTTATTGAAGAGCAGCCAGCATTATTCGTGCACCAGCCCAACAACTAGTTCCCACAGTACTGGGCCCTTCCTACTACCTACTAGATAACAATGACAGCAGGAGGAAAATAAATTTAGTAATTCTTACCCAAAACTGATGAATGCATGGAAAGAGAACTATATCAGCCAAAGTAAAATACAGCCCTTCAGCAAAAACATGCTCCAGAGGTGGGAGTTCAGAGGTTTTCATTTTCCTAATATGAGAAGGTTCCCTTTTGGTGGAAACTGGATTTTTCTGCACAGTTAACTTAGAGAAAGATAATTCCAAATCTGCAGAAGATGATTCCTGAATTTCTCTTGATTTTCTTTCCTCTGAAGCATTGTTACTTCCTTTCTTAACAAGTGAGTTTTGCTGCTGAACTTTCTGCCTTCGAATTTTGTCATCATTATGCACTCTTACAGGTTCTCCCAACTTCTTTTCAAGATGCAGAACTTCCACAGGAATACTCTGATGCTGATCAGGAGACAGCCTCAGAAAATCCTCAACAGCCAGAGGAATGCTGATTTCACAAAGTCTGGTCCATTCACTAACCTATAATGAAGACAATGAATTAGTGGAGGGATTATTTTTATAGGGCATTCACTGCTAACAGGAAAGGAATTTCACAGGCATTCTAAACAAAAATTGTACTGTCACCTCTTTGGTTGTCAAACTGGTTACCGCAGAAAACAGAAATAGCCATAAATTTTGACAAGAGTATACTAGCAGAGTTCTAAATTAAAGTACTAGTTACACATACAGGGATGTTTTGGGATTGTGCTTCTAAAATACCAGCTTCATATACCATACAGCAAACTATTTCAGACGGTTCAATGGTCTCTTGATAATTTTGCATGGGGGTGCAGATGAAGGGGGGTTCTGACTATTCACAAGATAGGGAAAAATTCCCCAAGGATCCATCTTTAACTTTGTCCTAAATTAGCTCTTCGGAGGCCAGCATCCATTTCACTGGACACAAATTATCTTTCCATAGTCTCTTAAAATGTAAGATGGAGGCCAGCATCCATTTCACTGGACACAATTATCTTTCCATAGACGTTTACAGTGCAATCCTAAACAACTATGCCTTTATAAATCCACTACAAAGAACTTTTAAAAGTTGTAAGTATGCTTAGGATTGCACTGTTAATAAGCCAGAGTTCAATACATATACAATGATCCAGTACATTAAAGACCTTACTGATACCGCTACTTACCTCTACCCAATCCCAGGCCACATTACTCAAATGCAAAATTCTACTGTTTTAGTACAAATAAAACCCACATACTCACTTCATAACTCACTATTTTATTTACTTCAGTGGAGTACACTGAGTATCTACCATTATATTATGATGGCAGCTCTTCGCATCAGTTACAAAAACAGATCCAAAATTTACTCTTGGTTCATATGTATTTTGAAATACCAAGACAGAAATAGGTTAACTGGCCACTTTGACATTAGATTACACTCTGAGCACAATATAATTTATTAGTAGGTTATTATAAAGCAACGTTAAACTATTATGGTAGAAATACACTCACTTCAGCACAGGCTTTCAAACAGGTCTTTTTAAAACCCAAGAGTTCCAAAACGTCCTTCTTTGATGGATCAGCCTCATATGTTTTGTGTATTAGATGCCTTAACACCACAGCAAGTCCTGCTCGACAGAATGTTCCACTCTTTTCAAGGACAGCAGGTAGGCAGCAGTTTTGGACCACTGATGGAAGCTGGCACCTTTTGATAAGGCAAAATTCCAGGGCCTCAGGCAGTGCTTTGTCTGAAAACTGGGAGTCTGAAGGTATTTCCCCTGGAGATACTAAAAAGACTCTGAATGTCTTGCAGTCACAGTATGACAACAGAAATAAAGTTACAGATGTGTGAAGAGGCAAGATGCAGTCTTCTTTCTGATGAAAGTAGTCTAGATAAAGATGATCTTCAGTAAAACTACCTTTCATTTTTCTTAAAAGAAGAGACATGATTAATAATACGTATGGGATTTTATTCATGCTATTGCTCAAACGACAAAAAAAATAAATGAAGACCACTGTTTAAGCCTAAAAATCATGACATAATCTTCAGTCCCTTTTGAGACACACATTATCCAGTTCAAGAACCCATTCAGTCTGAGTGTTCCAAAACTAAAGCACTTGGGGCTTATTTGGCATAGCAATCACAGGTGATGTGAAGGTCCCCATTTCTACCATGATGTTTAGCTATACTATATTGCGAAATCATCATATCATGTGCTTTCTCACACACACTCCACATCACTGGGACTTGCTGGAGGGAGGGGACGGAAATAAGGCAAAGGGTAAGCGAGCCTAATCATCATGGGGGGTGGGGTGGGACACGACACAAGAACACAATAAAAGATCATCATCATCCTAAATGGAAAAACAGCTTATATATTTAGTTGCCAACTTACAATTATTATATATGAACAGCAACAGGGAGTCTTAGAATACATCTATTGCTACACTTTGAGCATTGTGTAAAAATTGGGATGGTTAATGCATCAATAATAGAAACAGACCTTGTGATTTAAACAGTTCTGTAACTCTGGGAATATTTCAAGGTCACTTAAGAGAAGGGGGAACTTCTGCAGCAAACATTTTTATATGATTAATGAAGCATATTTTGGGAAGTATGTAGTCTATTAAAATTCCTGTCACTGTATTTAAAAATCATTTCAACTAGATTAATTTAATGCTTAGTAGATGATACTTTTTTGTCCCTTTTGCTATTGCTAGATTAATTTAATGCTTAGTAGATGATAACAACTTTTTTGTCCCTTTTGCTATTATTCTGAAGATGATTTAACACGGAATTAAATAAGGAATTACAAATATGCAGCAATTATATGCAATTTCTGAAGGTCATTTTCTTAAAATTATAGATAAGAACACTATACATTCAGTAAGTTTTACATTTACCTTCTTGTAAATCAGACTAACGCTTGGACACTAGATGGCATGCATTCAAAGCAAGTACTGAAGCATATAATACCATACTGGATGCTTTTGTTATACTAAGAAAAATAGTGATCCATATTTAAAAAACAATAGTTGAAGATGGGTAGTCATATTCGTCTGTCTGCAGCAGTAGAAAAAAGTAAGAGTCCAGTAGCCATGGTACAGTAAGAGCTTTCGTGAGCTATTGCAGTGAGCAGTGACTCACGAAACCTTATACCGTCCCATAAATTTTGTTAGTCTTTAAGGTGCTACTGGACTCTTACTCTTTCCTAAAGAACAATATTTTTTGCTTCCAAAATCAGAATCTGGTTCAATTGCACACAATCTGGGCAGTAATATAACTTTACAATAAACAGGAGCACATTAGCACCTTAAGGACTAACACAATTTTATTCCAGCATAAATCTTTGAGAACTAAAGCCCATTTCACCAGATACTAAGGCAACAGATTTATATGGCAACCTCTTTGGAATTAATTTTGTAACATTATAGCTATGGTGTTCGGGTGGTCTGAATTTACACATACAAATCTCAAATGTATTAATTCATTAGACTCTTTATGAATATAGTCACTGCCATCCAGAAACGAATGGTACATTAAATATAAACAGGTTTTTAAAACAAGGAATATTTAAAAATTTTAAAAAATCTTGGTACATAAGATACACTGAAATTTTGTTGGTTGACCTATTGAATCCTCAACTGCCCTCTTTGACAGAATTCTCTCATCTCTCCTTATATATAAAGCTGCTTTGGGTGTGGACTCTTGAATATGCTCCCGAATCAGTTGGCCTGCTGGTATGTCGTTCAAACGGTGTCTCCACCCATTGGCTGCGTGGCTGTCTGCATTGCCGTCATCCCACCCACTGGAGTGGCGCCCAGTATTTCAACCTCAGTCTGCTCATAGCCAACACCCAGGCCAGATGCTCCAGTGGGTGGCCGCTCCTCAGGCTGAGCCCAATCCTGCCAGCGCTGCAGCAGACATCATCAGCCAAGCCCAACTGCAGGTACCCACCTGGCCTGCAAACGGACAGGGGCCGGTGCACTACTGGGGCGGAGGGCAGTGGAGGCACCCGGAGGTCGCCGAATGCGGCCGAGCATGCCTGCAGCTACCTGCCTGGCCTGTGCACCGACGGGGGCCGGCGTGTGGCTGGGGTGGAGGGCAGTGGAGGCGTCTTAGAGGCCACCAGGTGTGAAGCCAGTGCCAGGCCCTTGCATTGCCCCTCGACCCCCGGGGTCTGGGGGGGAAGCGGGGGAATGGGGGGGCTGTCTTCCTAGGGCTCATTGTATTCCTTCTATACAACGATTATTGCTCCTAGTATAGAGATATTTTCTAAAACCACAAAAGATACGATCTAAGGAGACAAGAATGAGAATGAAATACTTACCAAATAAGGAGCTAAAGTATTTAATTCTAAGTGAAGGTATCTCTTGCTTAATTAGTCATTCAAACTCTGTGTTTTAAGCTACAGATTATAAGATGTCCATCCTCAGCATCATTATTGTAGGCAACCAATTCCTAAGAGAAGGCCAAGATATGGTAAAACTGAATTAGTAAAAGTTCTTTCAATAGAAAAGTTTGTCTTATTATCTCTTGAAAATCTACAAAGTCAATGGAACTCTTAAGAACTCATTCACATAAAGCAGCAGAGTGGTATGGTACTCATTATTAGATCTGTGTAATTTATTTTAAAACATATTCCTGAAAAATATTTAAAAATCTGTGACACTAATCTCAAATTTTACCCACACTGTAAGCAACCAGTCACTACCTTGAAAAGCATCTACAAAAAAAATCAGTTTTAGCTGGTCTTATCTCAGGGCACCATTGTTACACAATAATATAGCATAATTCTAAATAAATTGAACTTGGTGGTGGAAACTGCTGTAAAGTCACAGCTGACTTACAGCAACCCAGTGGGGTTTTCAATTGCCTCTGTGTTATGACCCTGGTATTCCTTGGAGGTCTCCCATCCAAATACTTGTCAGGGCCAATCCTGTTTAGCTTCTGAGATCTGACCAGATCAGGCTATCCTGGGCTATCCTGGTCAGGGCAAAATGAATCTACTGAGTTGATAAATACAGGAAGCAATCCTAGGTAGCATTGTGTACTGCTTCAAGTATCATAGCAGGATCTGGGAGACCCAGATTTGAATCCCCACTTTGCAATGGAAACTCATTCAACATCATCAACATTTATTACGATCGAAAGATCAGCCAGTAGCACTTTAATAGCACAGTTTACATACAAATGTAAAATGAATATACAAAGATGAAAATTCATAGCCTTGTAAATGTAATGAATTAGACACAAGAGTTATTAAAAGGTTTGGAATATCTGTTTTCTTATGGACAAAGCCTCAGCACAAAATTTGGCCACTTTAGAGGTGGTCTTTCGACTTGGTTCTGAGTGGGTGATGCTGTAGCCCAAGCATTTTAGCTAACAAGGTGTCCTTTGGCTAGTCACTCCCAAGCCCACCTCTGAAGCATGGGAATAAGTGGCTTACAAACTCCTTTCCCTTCCCCTCCCCACAACAGACACCCTGTGAGGTAGGTGGGGCTGAGAGAGCTCTGACAGAAACTGCTCTTTTTTCAAGAACAGCTGTGCCAGAACTATGGCTTGTCCAAGGTCATCCAGCAGGTGCAAGTGGAGGAGTGGGGAATCAAACCTGGTTCTCCCAGATTAGAGTCCGCGCACTTAACCACTACACCAAACTGGCTCAAGGACAAGATATGTATAGAAATTATCAGATCTTCCTGGGAACTTGGACAGAATAGGGGTGAAATGGAACAAATGTTCTTGTAAAATAGGCAGTATTAATGACACACGTTCCACTGTTTCGAGTGCATTCAGTTGACAGGAGCACAGAAATTGAGAATAAGAAGTGTATAGATATCTCCATTCCAGTAGCACGGAGAGCAGGCGATCAAAGTGGACCAAGGTGAAAGCTCTGCAGTATTTGGGAAATTCTAGAGCGTAAAGATAGTTCGCTGGCACAAAATTTTGGCTATGGTTCCCTACCACCAGACAGAGATGTGCCCAAGATCTATCATCTTAAAGAACTGGCTCCCAGATTCATTGTTTAAGTATTTCTTTAGCTCCCAGGAACCCATAGCCTATTGCTAAGGGGAAGAAGCTGTAAAATTGTAATTTTACTCACTGGATAACCTTGGGCCAATCACTATCTCTCAGCCTAACCTACCCCACATAGTAGATGTGAGGATAAAATGAAGGAGAGAAAAACAACATTAAGTTGCTTTGGGTCCCTACTGGTCCCATTTTGTTCACAGGCCCTTACGTCCAGATTAGGATTGCTAGCATAGGATCTCAGCCTACAGTGTTTATGGTGAGAACAGGTCACTGATTTTAACAAGTTATTTTAGCATGTAACTGAAATGGCGCCTATACAATCATGGGCTGTCCCCCCCCCCCCCCAAAGTGAATTCCTCCTGGCTCTGTGTGTCTCTTACTTAATATTGCTTGAACAGTGCAATTAGATGCACTCCTCTTAGCAATGTAACTGCCTCATGTGAATGTATGCACTCAGCTTTCTAGGGTGAAGCTTGTTAAAAAAAAACATCAATTCTCTTTTTCTTTCACATTCACTGGAGTTAGCAGAACAGGGAAACAGTTCTTTAAAACTCCTTCCGTGGGTAGCAACAAGGTGACATTCTCAATTAGACTGTGCCTAAGGCAATAACATTGTTACTTATCCACAGTGGATTTCCCCAACAAGAAACATTCTATGCTTTGAGCATATAGGGAACCACCAGACACATATTCCTTACTTCCTTCATCTTTCTCTGTCCTTTAGCCCTTTGTTCTTAAGTTTTCACTGGCAGCCCAAATGCTTTAGTTTCACAGTGACTAGATTGCAGTTACCTCTAGTCATTCCCCCTGCCACACTTACTATTTTCCTACATCTGACTTGGACAGAGCCTTATTTATTTATGTATTTATTTACGTTATCTACTTGGTACATAAGATACACTGAAATTTTGTTGGTTGACCTATTGAATCCTCAACTGCCCTCTTTGACAGAATTCTCTCATCTCTCCTTATATATAAAGCTATTTTGGGTGTGGACTCTTGAACACGCTCCCGAATCAGTTGGCCTGCTGGTATGACACTCAAATGACGTCTCTACCCACTGGCTGCGTGGCTGCCTGCGTTGCTGTCATCCCACCCACTGGAGCACCGTCCAGTGTCTTGGCCTCAGTCTGCTCACAGCCGACACCCAGCCCAGACACTCCAGTGGGTGGCCGCTCCTCAGGCCGAGCCCGATCCTGCCGGCACCGCAGCAGACATCATCAGCCAAGCCCAACTGCAGGTACCCACCTGGCCTGCAAACGTACAGGGGCCGGCGCACTGCTGGGGCGGAGGGCAGTGTAGGAGGCCCGGAGGTCGCCGAATGCGGCCGAGCCCGACTGCAGCTACCCGCCTGACCTGTGCACCGACGGGGGCCAGCGTGTGGCTGGGGCGGAGGGCAGTGGAGGCAGCCCAGGGGCCACCAGGAGCCAGTGCCAGGCCCTTGTGATGCCCCTTGACCCCCGGGGTCTGGGGAGAGGATAAAAGCAGGGGAATGGGGGGGCTGTCTTCCAAGGGCCCATTGTATTCCTTCTATACAACAATCATTGCTCCTAGTATAGAGATATTTTCAAAAGCCACAAAAGATACGATCTAAGGAGACAAGAATGAGAATGAAATACTTACCAAGTAAGGAGCTAAAGTGTTTAATTCTAAGTGAAGGTATCTCTTGCTTAATTAGTCATTCAAACTCTGTGTTTTAAACTACAGATTATAAGATGTCCATCCTCAGCGTCATTATTGTAGGCAGCCAATTCCTAAGAGAAGGCCTAGATATGGTAAAATTGAATTAGTAAAAGTTCTTTCGATAGAAAAGTTTGTCTTATTATCTCTTGAAAATCTACAAAGTCAATGGAACTCTTAAGAACTCATTCACATAAAGCAGCAGAGTGGTATGGTATTCATTATTAGATCTGTGTAATTTATTTTAAAACATATTCCTGAAAAATATTTAAAAATCTGTGACACTAATCTCATTACCCACACTGTAAGCAACCAGTCACTACCTTGAAAAGCATCTACAAAAAAAAATCAGTTTTAGCTGGTCTTTATCTCAGGGCACCATTGTTATACAATAATATAGCATAATTCTAAATAAATTGAACTTGGTGGTGGAAACTGCTGTAAAGTCACAGCTGACTTACAGCAACCCAGCAGGGTTTTCAATTGCCTCTGTGTTATGACCCTGGTATTCCTTGGAGGTCTCCCATCCAAATACTTGTCAGGGCCAATCCTGTTTAGCTTCTGAGACCTGACCAGATCAGGCTATCCTGGGCTATCCTGGTCAGGGCAAAATGAATCTACTGAGTTGATAAATACAGGAAGCAATCCTAGGCAGCGTTGTGTACTGCTTCAAGTATCATAGCAGGATCTGGGAGAACCAGATTTGAATCCCTACTTTGCAATGGAAACTCATTCAACATCATCAACATTTATTACAATCGAAAGATCAGCCAGTAGCACTTTAGCATCACAGTTTACATGCAAATGTAAAATTAATATACAAAGATAAAAAATTCATAGCCTTGTAAATGTAATTAATTAGACACAAGAGTTATTAAAAGGTTTGGAATATCTGTTTTCTTATGGACAAAGCCTCAGCACAAAATTTGGCCACTTTAGAAAAGTGTATGTATGCACTCAGCTTTCTAGAGTGAAGCTTGTTAAAAAAAACATCAATTCTCTTTTTCTTTCACATTCACTGGAGTTAGCAGAACAGGGAAACAGTTCTTTAAAACTCCTTCTGTGGGTAGCAACAAGGTGACATTCTCAATTAGACTGTGCCTAAGGCAATAACATTGTTACTTATCCACAGTGGATTTCCCCAACAAGAAACATTCTATGCTTTGAGCATATAGGAAACCACCAGACACATATTCCTTACTTCCTTCATCTTTCTCTGTCCTTTAGCCCTTTGTTCTTAAGTTTTCACTGGCAGCCCAAATGCTTTAGTTTCACAGTGACTAGATTGCAGTTACCGCTAGTCATTCCCTCTGCCACACTTACTATTTTCCTACATCTGACTTGGACAGAGCCTTATTTATTTATGTATTTATTTACGTTATCTACAGTCTACCTTTCTCACTGGGACTCAAGGCAGATTACACAGAATGAGTAAATACAATCAACAGGATGGGAAACTCAATAAACAATGAAATAGTATTTGGGTTGTAGAACCAATCAGAAATATAACAAACAGAACTGAGGTAAAACATAAGCGTTAACATGACACGTTAAATGATGCAAAATTACATAGTCAAATCCAAGTTACAGCAAACTACATGCAATAGTATAGACCACAGCCCCTAATAATTTGTTCAAGTAACATTGTGAAATCATTTTGTACCGTGCTACCCTATTGCCTGAGTAGAAAAGCCCTCCTGAATAAATTCTGCAAATTTCAACCTAACAAAAACGCTTTAGTCATGAGACGAATATTTTATTGACAGAGAACTTTAAAAAAAGAATAATATTTGAGGTACTGTCAATCTACAGCAGATAACAGTGATCAAAGAAAACTCACCTGCTATGTTCAAACAGTTCCTGATCTTTTATTCTGACTTAACTGATCTCTCAGATAAGTGGTCCTCCTAAAACCTAATACTGAAATTTCCCCAAGTTAATGATTTTCCTGTCATGTTATTATAAAAAATGTAATGATATGACTATAAACAATCTAAAAATGCATTTAACATTATTTAAATTGGAACAGTGCACAAACAAGTGGCCAGCATCCAAAAGATGCTAAGCCTACCAATAACAAAAAATAAATGAAGAGAAAGCAGATTCTGAACAACTTCATACAGAAAATGCTAATATTATTTGTCATTGTCCAAAGAATTCTTAGACAGGATCAGGAGAGCCTGATTATTCAATTATAGCCTGCAGTCTTCCTTGCCTTTTTATGATCTGCTATCCTCTTTTCCAAGCTCAGTAACTTGGAAGCAAGGCACAGCAGCTGCAATATGCTACCGTGTTCTCTAAAGTAGCACTGATTTGCCAAAGAGTTAGTGGACTACTTTATTTCCCCCCCTCCAAAACACAAACAACCAAAACTTCTAAGAGCCTTACCTTACCACAGACTACTCCCTCATTTATTCATGGATATCCAAGAAGGACTCATAGAATAGTTAATAATATCTCTTATAGTACTGGTTAGAACTGCAACTAGCCAAATGTTAATTTTATTTACATAAACTCTGCATGTAGACAAGCCTAACTCAAGAAATTGAGAGCACTGTTTCAACAGATGATTCTTGCACTACAGATGTGCACACATGCTTATGCTTTCTGCCTACTCCACCTTGCCTACTGCTAATCCTCATGATCAAACAGAAATTGACATAGGAGCAGGGAGGGCGGGGTATAAACTAGATAAATAAATAAATATCACATTCCATGCAATGTGCAAAGCTGACATGCAGGCTACTAGCTATAAAGCAGAGCACTAACCAAATCAGGTGCATAGGAGTACAGTCTGGACATCAGAGATACACTGTTCTCAGGATTCCAGCAAGAGACACTGAGTACCTTAAGTTTCTGTTCTGCAAGACCATTGAATCAAAAAGTTTCCAGGCTCTAAGAACAGTCTAAACAGGCCCTTGCATTCTAGCCTGAGTTTGTGGAGAAGAGGTGTTGTCAAAACAACATACCATAGCCCCAGGCTCGTTTTCATCCAGCATACAGAAAACTATTTTATTAAAACCAGAAGAACTACAATGAAGATTAGCTGTCAAATAAAGTTACCAAGGTCCCGGTCACACGGGCCAGATAACCGGGGGGGGGGGGGCACGGCTCTTTGCGCCGGTGCAATTAGACCCACCAGAACGCGATCAGACACAATGGCGGCACACTGCGGTTTTGTCCGTCAGCACGTGTGCACCAAGGACACCCGGGGGGAAAGCCGCACGCCAGCGCAATCACACAGAACGATTCCGTCGGCAGCCTGTGGCAAAACCACATTTGTTGAGATACTTTTTAACTGTGCAGCTTTGGTGGCACGCCACGGGTGCGCTACACTTGCCAGATGGTGCGGTCTGATAACGCCCTGAACATCTGCCCAGCATTCGTGGCTCTCCTACGGCAAATTCGGCATGTGAATGGGGCCCAAATAACTTTTAACCTGTTATTTCTACTCAAAGATGGGCCTACAACCCGATTTATTTATTTGTTATTTATAGTCCGCCTTTCTCATTGGGACTCAAAAACAGAGTGAAAAACTGTAAAGCATTTCAAATATTATTATTCTACCTCACATTTCTGATAACCACCAAAATGTGGTAGTTACTGCAGAAAAATAATGCAGCACGAAGAGACATGTGCTTGGGTAACAGCCCACAAACCACATTCCCGTGCTGCCATTGAAGAGATGTCTCCATCCCTTTTCTTCCTCTCACTTCAACCCCTAATATCGCCAGATAAAGAGTTACTTAGTAGATGTGTGAAAGACCTCAACCTGAGACCCCGGAGAGCTGCTGTGTGTCAAAGCAGACAATACTGACCTTAATAGACCAAGGGTCTGTCTCAGTATAAAGCACCATTCAGGTTGATTTCAATCCACTTGAGCAACCATTTGCAAATGGATTTTGCCATTTCACATGGTAAAATGCAAGTGGATTTTGCCATTTCACACAGTAAAGTTCACACGATAATAGACCAAGGGTTTGTCTCAGTATAAAGCACCATTCAGGTAGATGTGTGAAATCACATGCTAAATAATGCCGTTTCAATCCACTTGAGTGACCATTTGCAAGTGGATTTTGCCATTTCACACAGTAAAATCCAGTTGCAAAGTGCATTGAAAGTGGATCAAAAGTGTGTTATATAGACCCCGGTCACACTAGCGGGAAAAGCCGCAGCTTAAGTGCAGCTTTTTAGAACCGGAACAAACAGAAGCCCGGCAGCGGGATCAGACAGGTCCCCCGAGGCTCTGCGCTTCTGCCGGCAGCCGTGATCACATGCTGCAGGGAAAGCGACTCTAAGGGCGAGGAGGGCCAGCTGCAGCAATTGTGCGCATGCGCAATTCGCCATTACCACACATACCATGGGATAACCGCGCGTCGGCGATCCCATGGTCGCTGTTGCTGCGCGTCATCTGGTAGGTTTCACTACTCTCTTTTAGATCCGCATCTTCGGTCGGGAGGGATGGGTTGGGGGTGCAACACTTGCCAGATGTTGGCATCTGATCGCGCCGGTTTAATCCAACCTCAACCCGTCCGTTTCGCGGGGCAAATCTGGGCCTTTGTGTGAAATTAAACCAGCATGAGTATGCCTCAACAGAGGAATCTTATTTGTACTACCTTGAATTCTGTGATGGTGGGAAAAGGTGGTGGGGGGCAGTGGTGATCAATGCTCCCTCTAAGCTGTGGAATCTTGTGAGCAAAAATTCTACTTTGTGAGCTACTGGCATTCAAGTTGTGAGCGAGCGATTTGGCTACTGCATAAATTACTTTGCTCTGGATCCATCCTTCCTGAGCGGAGGCAAAAATGCGTGAGCCAGAGGCAAAAAAAAAAAATTAACAATGCAATTGAGGTGTGTTGTTGTTTTCGTGTGTTGGTGATTTTATTGCATTGTTATATTTTAATTGTAAATCTGCATTGATTGCAGGCCTATACATTGCAGACCCTGAGCCTACAATGTGGGGAGGGTGGGATGCAAGTTTAACAAAATAACTAAAATAAATTAGCTAGCATAGGGCAGCTACAGAACCCTGGGTTAATTCTTGTTGCGTATAAAGTGACGCCTGCTGCCCACCCAAAAGCAAGCTACAAGTATGAAAAGAGCAGCGAATGGCATCAGTCAGGCCAACGAATCGCTGGGAGTTGACATGGGCTGCCGAGCAGGGGGGGGAGGAGGGCAGCCGGACAGCCCTCCCTTTCGCAGCGGTTCTCTGCATACGAATTAAAATGACCGCCGGCTGGGGGGGGGGGGGGGGAAGCTGATGGTGGGGACGGCCCTCTGCATGTGCTCAGACGCGCCTTCCATCTGCATGGACTCTAGCAGAGTCTAAACCGGGTGAAGCTCCAGGGCAAACGCGGCCCACCACCGTCCAGGCAGGCCCTCGCCCGGCTCTCACCGCCAATCCCCTGAGCGTCTGTCCCCGCGAACCCGCCGCAGATAGCCGCCGCCACCGTCCCAAGCGCCCCGGTCTCGAGCAGGCGGCCTTCTCCGCACTCCAGCCCCCGGCTCCGCCTCTTCCTCTCCTCGGGAGGAGGCTCTTCGTCGCTTCCGGAGGCTGCCCGGCCGACCGAGCGCGCAGCCGGCGACTGCGGAGAAGGCGCCCGGAAGGAGCCGTGGAGGCGCCGCCGCTGGTCCTCAGCCGGTAGCCTGAGGTAAAAACAAAACCGGGGGTCGTCTATGGGGATTTGTGTCTCTGAGCAGCCTCTCGTTCTCTCATACCTGAGCAGTTTTATGCCGAATTGCTCCAGTTTTAAGCCAATTGGGTTTAGACTGGGAGTAACTCTCCGTGGGGTTGCGGGGAACAGGCTGTTGATACCAAACAAAGTAGCACAACACAATGTGCAAGCCTTCGAGTTCTCCAGAACTCTTCATCTGGCTGGATGTTAAAAAATAAAAGGGAGGGGGCGGGGATTTTCAAGCGGTAATATTCCTCCTCAGCATCCTGCGTGTAGAATGTCTCTTCTGACAAAGAGATCTGGAGAATTCAAAAGCTTGCACACTGTAGCATCCTACACATTACTCGGTGAGCATCCTGTGTGCATTGAATCAGTGCACTTAGAAGAGGTGTGTCTTTGGTTGTGCTGACCCTTCCCCTCTGCCTATGCACACAGTGTTAATGCATGACAGGCGCATACATGCATAGGCTGTGATCAGGAGCCTTATCACAGCAATCCTGTAAGATTATCCCCACACTGCAAATGGAAGAGAGTTGAGAAAGTGTGAATTTGCTGTAAGACCACCATAGTAGATTAATGAAATCTGAACTGGTCATCTCACATATCACAGGTGTCAGCTACTGTGGAACTCCTTAAAGGACAGTATCCTAAAAAAATAATCCCCCCAAGTGTAAAGAATATTCTTCATTTAAGACTGGAGAATATTCTATTTTTATTTATTTTGATATGTGTGCCTCACTTTCTCACCCTGATTTTAGCTTAATCACAACAACAATCCTGTGAGGTTGGTGAGGCCAAGACAGAATGACTGACCCAAGGTCAACCAATAAACTTCCATTGCATAGTGGGAATTTGAACCTGAGTCTCAGGTCCTAGTCCAATACTCTAATCACTACACCATTCTTTGTCTCAAAATGTTTGCTTGGAAAATAGACTTTTGATTTGCATTGCTTATTTTTGCCTGTTTAAGGACAGAAGTAGTGGCTCAGTGGTAGAGCACTTGCTTTGCATGCAGAAAGCCACACGTTGTATAAAAAGGTAAAGGTTCCCTTGCTCGAAAGCCAGTCAAATCCGACTCTAGGGTTGCAGTGCTCATCTCCGTTTCAAAGCCAAAGAGCCAGCGCTGTCCGAAGACATTTCCGTGTTGTATACCTCCAGTTTAAAAAGTTGCCAATATTGTATACTAGGAAAAAGGCCCTTTGTGGAAATAAATACAACGACCTCTAGAAAGAGGCTCTGGGCAGGTGCCCCGGCCTTGGACACTCAGTGTCAATTTGCTGTGGCGACCTCAGCAGGGTATAATGACACTGAGTCCACCATTTTCTCCAGAGGAACTGATCTCTGCTACCTAAAGAACAGTTGTAATTTTGAGTGATCTCCAGCCCTCACCTGGAGACTGGCAACGATGGTTCCCCAGAAGGGAATGGTTGATTTGGAGGGTGGAGTCTATGGCTTTGTACCTGTCCGAGATCCCACGCCTCCTGAAACCTCACCCTCTCCAGGAATTTCCCACCTGGAGTTGGCAACCCTATCTCCTTCCCAGCCAAGCATCAACCTACCATTATTTATTGGGTTGTGAAAATAAGAAGCAGGCGACTGACCAGATATGAAGGTGCACAGAGAGTTTATAAAGGTGAATATATACAGATATTTACCAGGCCATTGAACAGCATGCCAAAACTTAGTCTCTGAGAACTGAGTCCCACATAGCTAACTAAGCAGACAGCTATTATGCTGAATTCTATCCAATCCCTAACAAGGTGATGCAATCTCTAACAAGACCTGAAAGAGCAACACTTGGTAGAAGCACCTGTCTGTAGTTACATGACTGCTAGCCTGACAGCTAGGTTCGACAGTCAAATCAAACTCATCTACAGTAACTGCTTGCTACCTTTGACATTTTGACCCATATCTTAATATTATTTCCCCCTCACTCTTCAGCTTTCCACCCCCGACACACCTGCAGCCTCTCCCGTGCTCTAAAGTCCTGACTGCTACGTCACATTGGCTGTCATACTGGGGCCACCTCAGCAGCATGTAAGGATACAGAGCCCACCATTTTCTGCAGGGGAACTGATCTCTGCCATCTGGAAAGCAGTTGTAATTCTGAGTGATCTCCAGCCCTCATTTTACCTCAGAAGAGCAAACTGTTTAGAATGTTAGAGGCAAAAGCCAATCAAGTC